TACTATGATCCTTGAATATGTGATTCGGTGGAAAACTCATATGCATGTGTGGAATGATAAACGGTAAACAATAGGTTCCTAGTCTCGCCTCAAAGACTGGCTCAAGTGTTGTTGGTGAAAGTGCAACTGTCCCTGGGTGGTTTTGGTAATTCCTAACAACATATAGCTCATTGAGCTAATGCTGTTTCAAGACAAATATTTCAGGAAAGCTCAATGTTTGGCATGGCATGGATGAGAAATGTGGACCCCTCAAAATGCTAAGGACAAAAGGATTGGCTCAAGCTCAAAGCACGAGACTCTATATTTTTCATTATAGTGATCCAAGATCACATTGAATCCATAGGAAAAGCCAATACTATTAAGAGGGGGTGAGGTGTTGCTTAATGAGTTTCTTGCTCAAAGTGCTTAGTGATATGCTCCAAAAACCCTCATCTAAGCTTGGGGATGCCCCGTTAGGCATCCCACCTTTCTTCTTTGACAATTATCGGTTAGTATCGGTTGAGCCTAAGTTTTTGCTTCTTCACATGAGTTGTGCTATCCTTGCAATGTCATTTTATTTTGTTTTACTTGCTGTTTGAATAAAATACCAAGATCTAAAATTCTTAAATGAGAGAGAGTGTTCACATAATTACATAATTATTTAGCTACTCATTGATCTTCACTTATTTGTTTTTGGAGTAGTTTGTCACTTACTCGTGTGCTTCACTTATATCCTATGAGTAAATGGTTGAATGAGTTGAATGTCATAAATCTGAAATTATATATGTTTCATTTGCTTATCCCATGGGGAGTAATAAATTCACATTTAAGAAGTAGAGGTTGTAAATTTATTGAAGGTTAGCAAGCATTGTATTGGTCATTTGAACAATTCATGAAAGAATATTGAAGGAAAATAGATTTCACATATAAATATACTATCCTAGACATCTTTTATAATTGTGAGCACTCATTAAGTATGATATGCTAAAGAGTTGATGTTGGACAAGGAAGACAACGTAATGGGTTATGTTTTCTCACATCTCAGTTAAAGTATATTGGCATGGATCATTCAAACATGTTGAGCTTGCCTTTCCCCCCCATGCTAGCCAAATTACTTGCACCAAGTAGAGATACTACTTGTGCTTACAAATATCCTTAAACCCAGTTTTGCCATGAGAGTCCACCCTACCTACCTATGGATTGAGTAAGATCCTTCAAGTAAGTTGTCATCGGTGCAAGCAATAAAAATTGCTCTCTAAATATGTATGATCTATTAGTGTGAAGAAAATAAGCTTTATACAATCTTGTTATGGAAGAAATAAAAGCGACGGACTGCATAATAAAGGTCCATATACAAGTGGCAATATAAAGTGACGTTCTTTTGCATTAAGATTTGTGCATCCAACCATAAAAGTGCATGACAACCCCTGCTTCCCTCTGCGAAGGACCTATCTTTTACTTTATGTCTTTTACTTTATGCAAGAGTCAAGGTGATCTTCACCTTTCCCTTTTTCATTTTATCCTTTGGCAAGCACCTTGTGTTGGAAAGATCCTCATATATATATATATATATATATATATATATATATATATATATATATATATATGAGGGGGGGCGCCCTAGCACAACACACAACAATAAGTGTTAGCAGTGTGCGGCGTCCCCCTTCATAGTTTACACCCCGGTCATATTCTCGCGGTGCTTAGGCGAATCCCTGCACGGATCACTTCACCATCACCGTCACCACGCCGTCGTGCTGACGGAACTCGTCTACTACCTCGACACCTTGCTGGATCAAGAAGGTGAGGTACGTCATCGAGCTGAACGTATGCAGAACTCGGAGGTGTCGTACATTTAGTACTTGATCGGTCGGAGCTAGAAGAAGTTCGACTACATCAACCGTGTTGTCAAACGCTTCCGCTTACGGCCTACGAGGGTACGTAGACACACTCTCTCCCCCTCATTGATATGCATCTCCTAGATAGATCTTGCGTGAGCGTAGGATTTTTTTTTAAAATTGCATGCTACGTTCCCCAATAATTATGAGGCTGTCGTCACGAGGAAGGAGGTTGCAGGAGCGTCGTAGTGGGAAAGTTGAATGTGGGAGCACATCCTCGCTGGATTTGGTGTGGGAGTGCGCCTCCTCCTCGCCTGGATCTCATGTGGGAGGACGTTGTCGACTCGTGGCTGATGTGGTGAGCACTGCCGCGCATGGTGACCATTTGTCTCGGTGAGAAGGTGTTGGAGGCGTGGAGTGAAAGGGCCACGGATGAAGAAGAAGCGGGCTTAGAGGAAGTGCGACTAGAGCTACGGAGGTAGGGTTGGAATGTTTCGAAAGGTTGTTTATACTGCGGTAGTTCACGGGAGTTTACTCGGGGTCGAGCGTGTTCAGATCTCACAACGAATGTTGTTCGGGCCGGGTCGGGGCTTATTTTGGGATAAATATCGAAGCCTCAGACCCAACCCAAATTCTGCCTCGGACTGCAAATGGAGGCCCGAGCCTAGGTCATCACGTCGGGCTCCCCATGCATAGAGATCCTAGCATGAGTCCTTTTCTGAATAAAAAATTACGAAGTGGTCAACCAATTTTCGGAGATCTCCTATACAACGCGGCAGCGCGCACCCCGCGCGCCCAGTTGGGTCGGCCCATGCGCGGGGCGGGTGCCCACGTTTTTCTTCATTTTTATTTTTCCTTTTTCCTTTTTTGTTTTTGTTTTAATCTATATTAAAATAATTCAGGATTGGTTCTAAAATTCAAAATATTGTGAATTGTCATAAAAACAGTTCTTGAATTCATTTTTTTTAGTTTCAAAAGAATGAACATTTTTTTAATGACGATGAACATTTTTTATATTTCATGAACAAGTTCTGAATTTGATGAACAATTTTTTAACTTGATGAACAAAATTTGCATTCAAGAACATTTTTCTGAAAACTTGATGAATAAATTTTGAAATCAATGTACAAATTTTGAGTTTGGCGAACATTTTTTTAAATGATGAACAAATTTTGAATTTAATGAACATTTTTTAAGTCGGTAAACAATTTTTGAATTCTGGTGAACATTTTTGAAATCCGATGAACAAAAATTTGAATTTTATGAACATTTTTTGAAAATGATGAACATAATTTGAATTTAATGAATATTTTTTAGGTCGGTGAACAATTTTTGTATTTTGGTGAAAATTTTCTAAATCAGATGAACAAAAAATTTGAATTCAATGAAGGTTTTTGACAATGATGAATAAAAATTGGATTTAATGAACTTTTTTTAGGGAGGTGAGCAAATTTTGAATTTTGGTGAAAATTTTATTTGAATTGTGGAACAAGTTTTTTAAAATGATGAACATTTTTTGAATTCGATGAACGAAAATGTGTTCGTGAATTTGAAAAGAAAATTTACAAAAAAGTGCCCTACGCGATCCGCCCAATTTTCGGATATGATTCTCGGCCAACCCATCTATTAATAATCTGAGCCCAATCGAATTCGATACAAAATCTCAGGCCAACTGTGCGCAAGGGCCCATAGGCGGTGTCACCACAGTGCTGCAGTAGCACCGATGGGCATGGAGGAGCGGCGGCGTGGGATTGTTTACCGTGAGGCCGCGGCGGCGGCGGTGCACGCCACTACGCCAGTAAGAAGCAAGCGAGGGCCGTGTGGCGGCTGGAGATGGATAGCCTCTACTCCGGCGCGGGCCCGGCCTGGTTATGGTCTCATGGACGCGCGCAACCAGCGCCTGCGGACGCTTCCCGTCGCTGATTGCCAGGTGCGCTAAGGTCAACCACAGGCCAAACCATAAACTTCAGATTTATTGCTGTATTTCTGGATTTCGTACCAAGTGCTGGGGGATTTCTGGATTTATTGCTGTTATAAACAAGTTCGTTATCTATGTCCACAGACCACAATTAGCCTCTTTTTTTGCTGATTCACTTGATAGACAGAAAGGGATTATACAGTACAATAAACACATCAAGGACGCGGTATGGTGGAACATATATCGTGGTACTATAC